TCCGGCAGCAGTGTGTGGGGTGGGGGGATCAGGGTGTGGAGGGGTCTGTGAGAGGCGCCGCGGGGGAGGCGGCGGCGCGACTGGAGAGGGCAACCGGCATGGTAGGCGAACCAGAGTGTCCAGGGGCTATTGAAGCAGGGCTGTTTGGGGGACGAGCCTGCTCAGTTTGATCACAGGGCAAACCCATGAATGCATGCAAGTTTGCATGGAATGCTGACAGCATGCTCAGCAACAAGTGTCATGCATGTTGCTCTTGCTGTTGTTGTTGCCGCGTGTTGCTGCTGTTGTTGCTGCGGCTTGCTGCTGCTGCCGCTGCTGCTGCAGCTGCTGCGAGTGCTGCTGTCTGCTTTTGCTCCTGCTGCGGCTGCTGCTGCTGCGAGTGGTGCTGCCCGTTTTTGCTCCTGCTGCTGCTGCCTGATATCACTATCACAGCTACTGCAGTGTGGGGGAATGTATGCTAGTGTGATGTCTCTCAGGCCTGGTGTGTGTGTGTGTGTGTGTGTGTGCGTGTGTACGTGTGTGTGTACGTGCAGTGTTGTGTGCGCGCCCACCTGGCAGGATGTTGACCGCGCCCTTCAGGCAGCACGGCAATGACTTGGGCTTGACCAAGCCTGCCGGCTTGAACTTGGAGGTGGTCACATTCACTTTGCACGCGGACGCACCGCACAGCCTGTCGACCGTGCTGCAAAGATTGCTGACAGCTGCACGGCAGTGGGGACGCAGGGGAGCAGGGTTTATGATGAGCAGAAAAATAGCAACTACCAACCGAATGGGAGTTCATAGAGGGGACGCCACCGTGCTGAAAATGTGAGCTCGTGCAAGCAGCAGGCAGCCTGTGTGGATGTTCCAGGCACCGCCTGCTGACACCTGACTCGCGCCCTTTGTTCGGCGCACCTGGCAAGTTGATGCAGACAACCGTGCTGCCAAGCGCCTTCGCCGTGTTGGCGTTGGGTACGAGCCTGATGTTTGCGGCCGCGGACTTTGACGCCTTGTTGATCTTGAAGCCGAATGCTGACTTGGCGCTGGCGCCGTCAGCGGTTGACAGGGAGAAGTTGCTGGTGAAGCCCTTCACGATGCAAGTGGGGTCTGCAGCGCGGGGTGGCGGCAGGGGGGGCAGAGTTATGTGGCGCGCGACAAGGCGGGGTGGCGGGGAGGTTGTGTTCCCTTGGGAGCCGGCGCGACAGGTTCCAGGCCCTACGCCGCGCTTGACGAGCCGGCACGGTCGTGGCCAGCCGCCCTGCTGAGCAATCACGCTTGGTCGCTCTGCTGACACGCCCTCCGCCCACCAATTTCGAAAGACACGCCGCTCAGCCTGGTTACGGTGCTGCCTTTGCAGCAGATTGCGCTCGAGTTGCAGGGGCTTGCCGCGTTGATGCTGAAGCAGAACCGGTTGTATGTCGTCTTGGGCTTCTTGATGTAGCTTAGGGTGGTGTTCAGCACTTTGGAGGAGAACTGGACGTCAAAGTTGCTGCTTGACGTGGAGAGGTCGCCGGGATAGCACGTCTGGGCGGCAGCTGTGGGGGCGGCGGCGTCGGAGGGGCGGGCGGCAGGCATGCCGTGCGCGTCAGGCAGGCGACAGGCAGGACATGCAGCGTGCATGGGGTGGGCAGACGCGTGTTAGCTTCAGGCCGCATCAGGAAGCTTGTGGCTGTGGCGATCACACCTGCAAGCACTGCAATGGTGTATGCCCTCTTAAATCTCACCAAACTGTGCCGGCGCCACGACCACCAGCAAGAGCAGGGCCAGCACCGCTTGCCGGCAGCCAGGCTGCTGGCTGCCAGGGGCCATTCGAGTGTTTTTTTGTTAGGTTAATTGCCTTGTTGCTGCCAGTGCCGTTGGCAACGACCGTCGTGGCGACGGACGTCGACCGGCCACGCGTCACCAGTGCGCGGTGACCCAGACTTGTGTGAGGCCCTACGCCTGAACTCACGCTGACGTATGATTCCCTTAAAATCCAACAGCTGGATCGGGGATCAGCTGCTGCGTTTGTGACGGCTTAAGATCTGGACCGTAGCCAGGCACGCCGCAAGAAGGCACGGGACAAGTGAGCAACGATCAAGCAAGGAATCAACAGCCGATGTTGAAGTTGTCATGCTGGTGCCTTGTGCGCGAGGGCCGTGCAACCAGGCACGACCACCTGAACACAGTGTCACTCTGGACACAAGCCACCACCGGCCACTGGCTGTTTTCCATCCAGGGACCCTGTAGTGGGGGTACCTGGCTGCGGGAAAAGTTTAAAATTGACAAACGTTTCAAAAGTGGTGTCATGTCGCCCATAAGGTTTGTGTAATCGCATGCTTTTGCTGTGGGTGTCACCGATCGCTCCCAGATTCAGCTGACCACCGCCATGAATAAAGATCGCCATCGCTTGAGCAGGGGCCAGTGTAGCTGCCTGCCACCCCAGCAAACGCATCGCTGCTGACCGGCTGCTGCCCAAAGCGCGCCCTGGTTGTTGTCGGAGGTTTCAGGGTGGGCGTCGTCCGGCGTCATCGCTTATTCTTCGTTGCTGCCGCGCCGCTGCCAAAGGCCGCCGCCCTGCAGCGGCTGGGCTCGCAAGGGGGGCTAGGCGCCGGCGGCCATGCAAATGTAGCAGCGGCCTAAGCCAAGGCCAGTGCTTGAAACGCAGGACGCCGGCGCCCTACCAGCAGCTGCCCCGACACACCGTTGCCGTTGACAGTCACCCGTGACAGCGCCCTTCACCTTGCCGCAGCGACTCTAGTGGGCAGGGGGCTGCCGCAAAAGCTGACCAGCTCAAATGCCGATGTTGACAATAACGCGTAGTCGCACGGGATCTCGCACTCAGGCCGCAAAGCTCAGCCCGCTGAGCGCGCGGCTGTCTGTGTCCAGTGCTGCCGCAGCGACCCTGCGGTGCACAAATCAGACGGCACACATGTACCACATCCATTCGCAATGCTCCGCCACCACCACCTGCCATGTCCTGCCCGCCGCAAGTCGGTGAGTATGGAGGCTTTTGCCGGTACGCATTGTCAGCATCTTGCTTTTGCCTTGTACACGCGGCCGAGTCCACTGGCGTGCACGTGCACGTACGTCCTTCTTGCATTCTGGCAACACATCAATGCACAAACACGCACATGCACACACACACACACACACACACACACACACACACACACACACACACACACAAACACGCGCGTGCGCAAGCACACGCGTGCACTCACCCACCCACGACACGCATTCAGTCTGCTGGGTTCATCATCTGAGCAGCTAGCGGCAGATGCCATCCAGCAGGATATAATCTGTGCCCAGGTTACATGTGAAACCAAAGCGTGCGGCAGCCATCGCGCCGTAAATGGTGCCGTGCGGGCCCAAGCAGCAGGGCTGTGACACTTGGAGACCTCCCTGACACGAGGATGCGTCATGACGACACGCGTACACGAGTCAGCAGCAAACGGCTGCAACTTGCCTTCTGCGGCTCGAGTCCCTGTCGTCGTCGCCGCAGTGGCTCAGCCATATGAGGCGCCTGCGGCGCCAGCGCCCTGCACGCACCACACCTTCCGGGCGGCGCCGCAAGGCAAGTCTGGACAGCAATGTTGGCAGTGGTCACGGCGGCCAAGGAACGGCGTACGGTAGAGCAGGGCAGCTCGGCGTCTGCCTAAATGGTGTACGTGAAGTTCAGCTGGTTGTCGACAAAGTTGGGCTCCTGGGGCCGGCACTGCGAGAGCAGGGGCAGGGGGCGGGGTACGCTTGATACAGACGCAGTGTGCAAGGGATGGATACGAATGTGCAGCCTGATGCCAGGACGGGTCCGGGGGGGGGGGGCCCCCGGGACCCCGCCCGGGGCGGCAGGGCGCAGCACAGGTGGCACTGCTTGGCCATGCCCCTGATGGCCTTTCAAATGCACTACTTAGTGCGTGGCAACAGGACGTGGCCTTTGCTTAGCAAAGGGTGTGTGAACAAGGGGGGGTGCGCAGCAGGTGCCTGCTGTGCGCGGGCTGATGTTGGTCACGCAGCCACGTGCTGCAGGATGACGGCTCTGCATCAACAGCTGTCGGCTCATGGGCAGGGCCCTCAAGGCAGCAGCGCTAGCATGCCTGATGAAAGCTGGACAGGTGACCCGGAGTTGGCCGCAGCCTGCGCGAGCCTGGGGTGCGTGTGCATGTATGATGTCTCATGCAGGCAAAACCTTCAATCCAAATTGGGATCACAATGTAAGGAGGGACGCCAGAAGCATCAGCGCGTCCAGATTCGCGGCTCACCAGGTAGTTCACCACAAACCACAACACATATTTGCCGGGGACGGCCTCAGCCCTGAATCCAGTGAATTGGGCCGTCACGCTGGCGCCAGGGGGGATCGAGCCAGCCGACCATGGGTAGCTGCCAAGGGGGCTGTTCAACCGGGCGTCGCCGCACCCGGCAGGCGAGGAGACGGTGGTGAAGGCGCCGAACAAGCCGGGGTCGCCCGCCGCGGTGCCGACCTGAGCGGGAGGGCGGCAGGAGGGCGAGAGGGCGTTTGTTCCGCAGTCTGCTCTGAAGACAATCATGCGATTGGGTGAGACCGAATGAGGCCCGTCCAGGAGGGTGGTACACACTAAAAACAATGCACCTGGACGGTGTCGCCACAACCCTTCGAGCGCACTACACAAGCCTGCAGGGGTAAATGCCTACCATTGCTCCGCATACAATAGACAGGGGATATCAGAAGCCTTCTGTGCATGCACAAGCACAACCGTCACTCACACGCACACACGAATGCGCAAAATGTGTGTGATTGCATGCACATACAAGTGCTGCACGCTAGGCAGATGAGTGGCTGAGGTAGTCAAGGGGTTGGGGTTCTGCCCTGCAAACCCTTGGCTTGCGCGCACAAACGCCACCACACACACAACCACACACAACCACACACAACCAAACACAACCACACACACACACACACACACACACACATAGCGAGACCGCCGTGTTGCCGCCCGCAGCGAGACTGCCCTCCTGCCCGCAGTATCACCGCCCTCTGCCACCCCGCTCACGTTTGTGATGGTCGCGTTGACCGAGAAGATAGTGCCGACCTGCAGCACTGGACCCCCCAGGGGGATCACCTGCAAGTTGCTCGCAACAAAGTCGGGTGCTGCAACAGTGTACGAGACCCCGGCGACGTTGTCCGCTCTGGTGGTCTCAATCACCGTGCATTCGGAATCCAGGACCACCTGAAGGGTCTTGGCGCCGAATGACAGGGGGCCTGGGACAGTAACTGTGATGTTGGCGCTCGACCCGGCTGCCAGCACGTCCACCGACGTGCCAACGGCCCTGCCCAGCCCCCTGCAAGTTGGCGTCACGGGACTGTCAGTGAAGACGGATAAAACGCTGCTTGTTGAGGCGGCGGTGCCGTTGTTCAAGACGCCCACGGTCAAGTTCACAAGCTGGCCGGGCGTGAAGGCGCCTGATGAGGGGCTGGTGCTCAGAGCGAGCGACGTGAGTGCCAGGTTGGCAACCGGTCCAATGGTGGTGGAGATGAGGTAGGGCAGGGAGGCGAGGTGGTCGGTCTCGCTGATCTCATTCACGATGCACGCACTGTCCAGCAGTAGCCGCAACGTGTACTGCCCGGGAGCGCCGGGCAACGTCACGACGAGGAACTTGGCCCTCGACTCGCCCGCAGCGAGCGGGCGCAAGGCACCCGTGGCGCCGGTCACGTCGTTGCAGGCGGGCGTGATGGGTCTGTCAAGCCAGAATGCAAAGGTGGCCGCGGGTGAGGCGGCGGTGCCGTTGTTGGTCACAGTGTATGTCAAGTTCACTGTTACTGTCGGCTGCAGCGTGGCCGGCAGTCCTGAGTAGCCAGTGATTGTGAGGCCAGAAATGATGAGGTTCGCCAATGGGGTTGGGACGGTGGTGTTGGTGCCGGGGTTGGTGGTGTTGGTGCCGGGGTTGGTCGTTTTTGTGCCCGGGTTGGTGGTGTTTGTGCCCGCGTTTGTGGCGTTGGTGCCAGGCACGGTGGCGGCGACGGCAGTGCAGGTCACGGCCAGCTGGTCATTTGCATCGGATTTCTGCAAGGAGGGTGCGTGGGTGGTTGCGGGAAGGAGGCGATTCTGTGGTGGGCGGCTGCTCGAGGGCCGGTGGGCGTCAGGGCTGGGCTTGCTTCTGAAAAGCTGGTAAGCATGAGCAACGATCGACTTGGAGAGGGTAGCTTTTGGTGGGGGGGGGGGGGGCGCGGCGGCCTCGGCCCCCGCAAGCCAGCCCCCTCTTCCTAAATTTACGCGGGCGTAAAAGCCTGCGTAGTCTTTCTCTCTCTCCGTCAGGGGTGGGGGCACCGCGCCCGTGATGGGTGTTTCAGAGTGGTGGTGCCGGAGCAGGGAGTTGCGAATGGCAGCAAGCACTACTTCCAGCCCCTGCCCGGCGGCAACCATCCAGACCGGCCCGGTTTGCGAGCAGGAGAGGCGATCCAGGGGAGCGCAGAGCAAGCGCAGTCTCGCCGGCCATGGCCCCGCGGCCGCCTGCACAGGCCAGCGTGTCGTCCTTTTGAAAGGCGCGCAACATTCCTTTCTGCATTTCAAACCCTCGTGCTTGGCCGAGTGAACCACGACCGCCCGGTCTTGTCCGGCTGAGCCAGCTTGACCCGCCGCGCGCGCGCTCAC